CAGCAGGGCTAATGGCAGCCACCTCAGCTTGCCACCCTGTCACTTCTTTGTTCTCTTTGTTTTCATATTTGCTTTCTTGGAAAATGCAGAGGAAAGCTGTCACAGGGAATCACTCTGGCCTCAGCTCTCCATCCCATGTGTCTTTTTTTGTTTCCTTTTTTTCCCTCATCCACCCCAAAAAGCTGAGCCAAATACATGCTTGCAGGCAGGCAGTCCTTCATTCACAACCAGAAGAAATGAACCAATGGATTCAACAGTAGAATTTAATGGGAAATTTGTAAGATAAGTCTGAAGAGATGGAAGAGAATGCAAATGTTGTGGAAACAGGTAGGCTGGAGTTTACTATTACACAGTGTGATGATAGTTGGGGAGCAATGTCTGCAGTCTAGACTAAAGACTGTGCTAGAAGGAAGTTAGGAACTGCTGAGGTATGAATCTGGAATACCTTTTGCAGAGAAATACAGTAATCTGTGTAAGCTTTCTTCTTCTGTCTGAAGAAGGCAGCTCCCACTGCCAGGTCCTGCTCCTCCTTTGTACAGCTGAGAGAGTTTTACCTGTGGAAGGGGCAGTGGGGAAGCTGGGGGCAGTGTTGGGGCTGGGACAGTGATGCAGTTGTGTCATCTGGGTAAGCAGGCATTGAGGGATATTCCCTGTACTCCTCAGTGAGAGATCTTCTCTCTTGAAGTGCTGGTGTGTGTACACAGGCTGCCACAGAAAGGACATCGGCTTTGATCTTGTTCTCAATATCAAAGTTGTGCTTCAGGTTGGTTTTATTTAGAATCTTGTTAATTGCCAGTGGATTCCTTGTCTAACAGGCAATACCTTGAGATGCCATCTGTGTGAAGAGTTGTGCTGCTGGCTCAGTCAAAGGCAACCAGACTGGAATAGCTCCAGTACTGCTACAAAGCTATGAGTTGGGCAACTGCTGATTTAAAAAATGAGAGACAAAAATAGGCATCTTAATGCACTGTTCTGTCTTCATTAGAGCTATTGGGGATGGAGCTTTTAATTTTCTTTACAATTACAGTACACATTTTGCTCTAGGCAATGCATTTAAACCTTGATCCAGTACGGTGTCTAAACATGGGCTTATCTTTAATTGTATTAAAAGTTTAATTGATGTAAGGTTTCTTCCCATGCTCTTAAATGTCTTTGCTGGTTTGAAGGCTTTACCGGAAGTTTTCACAAGCATTAAAATTACTCATGAGATTTTAGTGAAAGCTTTTTTGAATATCCTGCTTTGCAGGATTCTTTCTATGTGCATAAACGTTGTCTAGAACACTTGGACCTGGAGGTCCAAGAATCCCCCTTGAGCGTCTTTGTTGTCTCAGTAAATTTTGGATGGTCTGGAGTGCTGATGGTGCTGCCATTATGGTTTTAGATAAGCTGAGTTTAGCCTACCTCAAGAGGCAAGTACAGCTCCCTTTGCTGTTGTAGCACTTGACAGAGCGTGAGATCTGTCACTGTTTGGGGGGTAGTGGAGAGACAAAACCTACATTTTGTGAGGTGAGTATGAAGCTACGGTAAATCAGGTGTTGTCATCCATTCATACTGCTTTTGCCACAAAACCAGAGGTATTTTCGTCTAGGTGACTGTTTAATTTAGTTTCCACTTTGATACAGCAGCAAAGACTCCGTCCACCTCGGCCACCGCCTCCAAAGATACAACGTTCATCTAGGCCCGTGAGTAGCTGGTAGTTTTGTTTCACTGCCACAGCTTAACCCTGCCTGAACTCCGCTCTCAGTAGCGTTACTAAACCTTGGTAGTTTGGATTGTCAAACTTTGCAAAAAAGCAATGTGTGAATTATGCTCCTAAACTCCCTTCTTCTCTGCTGCGGCACAGCCCTGGGACCTGCATTTATTCTGCTTTTCTTTGACGAGTTCTGCAGCTTTCAGTCAGTTCTGCAGGTAACTGATGCTGTTGTTGCAACATTTGTGTTTACTTTTGCGGTGATTTCTGAAAAACTCTTGCTAGGCTGGTATAAGTTTTTAGCCAGTGAGCTTTTGAAGACTTGCACTAAACTCAAATATGAAAGGAAGCAGAAGTTGAAGAGAAAGTTTATATTCTCTGCAAGTTATGCTTTAAATTAATTTGGGACACTTAATTTTTCTCAATGGAATAGAAGAAGTAAACAAAGTTTGTATTCGGGCAGTAGAAGATTAGTACCACATTATGGATGACATACATATATGCTTCATGTTCATTTAAAATCCTAGCTGGGACTTCATGTAATTAGATAGTATAAAAAATGTAGGCACAGCATGTTGGCCAGAGCAAGTGACTTTTCCATAGAACAACAGAGAAATTACTTTCAGTGCAATACCTATAGTGTATTAGGCAGGAATACCTGATCTCAGCAGTTTTTCATTCAAAACACTAACTGTAGGACAATTGTTACATACTAACTATGCCAGATGGCTTTAAAACTGGAAACTCTGGTGGATCTGCACCAGTGATTTTTTTTTTTTCCCCGCCAGTAGTACAGGAAAGTGTTATCAGTTTGGAAGAGGTGTTGTTCTAGAAACAGCCTTGGAAGTTGCTTATTTTTATCCAGCGCTTTGTTTTATGAATATAATTGCTCCAAAAGGCAAACAGATCTTACTCCTTGCTTCCTTATACACACATGTACATGCATAAGAAAGAGAGATGCAAGTTTTCAAATCTAATCTTGCTAAAACTTGTTAAAAACATGTTTTGGATGAGCAGGCAACTAGTTAACAAGTGCATTCGGGTGTGTGTTAACATTTGATCTTTGGTGCATGTTCCTGTGTTACATTTCAATAGCATGTTGTTTCTTTTCCTCCCCCTTTTTAACTCTGGGTGTTTAGCTTAACAGAGTAATTTTTATGGATTCCTACTCTTTAGTATTTCTATTTTTTGTGTTTAAAAGGTAGCATTGACTATGCTTGTGTGTGTTCTCTTAAATGTAATTGATCTGGGAGGGTCTCCTAAATCTTGTACTAGGACCAAACTTTCCAGGGTACCGTGGGGTTCCCACAGTGCTCCACAGCCCTTTTGTTTTGTGTTTGGCAGGTGGATGAGGACACAGTGCGATTCCTCTGTGCAGAAGTTGCTAAACAGTGTTGTTCAGATTTAGTAATTTATTACATCAAAGTCCTACTAAGACTGTTTAATCTCCCAGCTGTAGTACATTAATAGTCCTCACTGTAATGTGTTTATGTCAACTGTCTTTGCTCCCAACGTGATTGGTAAAAGGTTGGGAATGTAATAATAAAAGCTCCTGTTGCATTCATCTAGCTGTGTCAATAAGTGGAACAGAAATGATTCATTCATCAAGAGGAAATTCAAGATAAATGTAAATTATTATAATCACTCCCCAAAATATGCTTGTACTAAATATACATAAATTTGTTGTTGTTCAGAATGGTTATTTGACTTTTAATAGTTGAAACACATTTTTGTGTGTGTAAATAATACTTTGTGCAGGCTGCTTTTCCCTCTCTCAGTCTTGGCATGTATTACAGAGGTGGGTATCAGCAAGTAATTTAGCCTTTTACAGCAAGCACCAAATGAGGAGACCAGGTCCTCTTCCAGTGAAGTCCACATAATCACAATTCTTGAGAAATACTTGCTGTTTGCAGGGTGTATCTACTATGAGGAGGAAACCATGGGCACTGGTCCTTGCAATGAGTCATTACTAACAGTAAAAACAAAAACACAAACCAAAGGAAGGTTAAAGAAGCAGAACAGACGTGTTCTTTACATTCTGCTGTATTGGAAATGAGTTGTGATATTATGAAAGAGAGAGAGAGGACTGTTGCTTATAATTAATAGAGATCTGTTTAGATTAATGCTGGCTATTTGGAAACTTCATTCAATTAGAAAAAGTTAAAATACAGTAATTGCGCATAAAGTTGATGGGGACAGTAACCAGCACATTTAACCCTTCTGTACTGGATGTTTATTCATTTGGTTGTGTGCTCATATAATTGGATTTCTTACATACTTTTGCATTTGATAAGCATTTAACCTTGCCTGTTTGGCTACGTGAGGCTCAAAATGCAGCAAGGAATTAGCTTGATTCCTGGCTTTTCCCTGCAGTCCCCCATGAACAATGCTCTAAATCCTACTTAGCATCTCACCCTACACTGAACTGGTCTGGTGGCCCCCTGCAGCCATCCAAAACTCTCATCTCTCTCCCTCATCACCATCACTCCCCCAGAGTACCACCTAAAAGGTGAAAGTGTTCACAGCATGATGACAAGCCAGCTTTACACATCATCTTCCAGCTCAGATTTAATTACACACGTTTCTTTCTTCCTCTCCTTTTCTCTTTCTCCTTCTTGCTCTCTTCTCCCCCCGCTTCCTCTTGTCTCTCTCCCCTCTCTCCTGCACGCACTCGCTCTCTCTGGCTTGCACTGGGTCTCTCTTGCTCTCTCTCTCTCTGTTTTATCAGCCCTAATGAAGCAGTATTCTTCATCGATCCTGCTGATTGCCAGCCCATTCCTTTTGTTTGTTGGCACTGAGCCATTCAGCCGCACTCTGACAGCTCAGCTCGTCTAATTAGCTCTGTTGTTCTTTTCCCCATGTTTCACCACATTGCAAGTTCAGTTGAAGTTGCCACAAACTTAATCCTTCTATTCCTGCCATAAATTCACATTCCTAAGCCATCTTTATTGTGGAGAGGAGCAGCCTTGTGTGGGGACTGATCTCCAAGACCTTAACATCTGACCTTTTTATAAGCCCTTCTTCCTAAGAAATAGTGGCTGTACATCTCTGGATTTCTTCATCATATCTGCTGTACACCATTGCCTTTGAAATGAAAATTCAATACCATAATCCTTCTGCTGTCTTCTGCATACTGTTGTGTAGTACAGCAACACTGCACACGATTCAGTGGCTTTTGCTAGGCAAGAAAATTAGAGATTTATGTACCAGGGAGGGTGGGAGTAAGGCCAGAAACACCCCACTCCCCAGCAATGACAATGTTAGGAAAAAAAAAAGTGTCAACAAAAGCTTGCAGAGGTGGGGGAAATCTGCATCTATTTGTCATGGCAAATAAATGTATTAGCTATGCAGAGTGAGTGCTGAGGTGTGGGCCTTTACCAGCCTCCTTTGCATTGTGGCTGTTAAGGGAGCACCAGCTCAGGGAGGTCAGAAGTTGAGTTGTGTTCCTAACTTTATTTGAGGGCCTTGGGGATTTCTGTGGAAACCAGCATTCAGCTAAGCCAACAAATCACACAACATTTCAGGTAAGGTAGTACTCCCATAAAAAGTGGAAAGCCTGTTTGTGCAGCCTGACCCTGATGCTGCAAATGTTCATTCCCACATTGGACTCCAAGGGGTAAGTTCATCAGCAGGTTTACTCAGTGGTGCAGGCTGGTACATGCATAAACTTTGCCTTCTGTGATGTGAAGGTTGTTTGCCTGTTGAGTTAATGCAAGTAGATTAGGCTTGATTTCTGATCACTGAAAGGTGATGGATATGTTATTTAATATTAGATTGGCATCAACATCATCTTCCACAGAAAAGCTTGAATGTTACTGTGTACAACAAAAGATACACTAGTGTAACATTAGGGATGGCAGTGATAGCATGTCTAGGAAGAGTTTGTCTTGAGATGCTGAAGAGAAGCAAATTTGCAATGGCGAGTAAGTTTTTTTCATGTTACAGCATTTATCCTAAGTACAACTTTTTCAGTGTGTCCTTGCACAGGAGTCCTCACTTGAAAAGCTGGGTTCCTGTGAACAAGTGGACAAAAGGATCATGATGTCAGTGCTGCACTCCACTTTCCAACATAATGTGCAGCAACACAGAGGATTTTGGAGTTTTCTCTCTCGACTAACTATACAAAGGGAAACTCACAATTAGGGATTTTTTATCAGAAATATAGCCTGTACCAAACAGGACAGTAGAACAGAATTTTGTTGTTTTTCTAACAGCTAACAGTCAGTGACAAGCATCTATATTTCTTATATTATTCAAAAACCTGTGGGTTTTTTTGTACTTAGGCAAGTTGTGGGTCCCTGTAGTTTATATTCATACTCTATTCATTTGCAACATTGTTGTGTCACATAAAATGAAGACGTGTAAAAGCAATTCTGAATGGAGGATGCCTGTAAGAAAACATCGACTATGCATATTTTGTTATTTATGTCTGGTGTTTGCCCAACTTCTGAAGTGTTTGATGAAATACCTTCTGTGTGTGTGTATGTAACAGGTTCGCCCACCAAGACCTCATGTTGTTAAGAGACCCAGGAGCAATATTGCTGTGGAAGGACGAAGGACTTCAGTCTCCAGTCCAGAACAGTGAGTACTTGGTTGCTCTGCTGCTCTCTGATGGTGTCACCACACAGTGCATTCAGAATTGGAACTAGCCAAAGGAGAAATTAAAAAATACTACAGATAGTATTTTAGCTAACAAAAAAAACTAGTTTTTTAATTCCTGGAACATTTTAGAGGAAGTTTGAAAAAGTAAGAAACCCAGGTTTACTTATTAGAAAATTATGTTTTGCCAAGTTAGACATAATCAGATTAGCCTGGTTAGTGAAAGTTTTCAGGTTTTGGAGTTTTGTTCTTTTCTGCGTTGTTTTGAAATACACTTTAATTTAAAATTGGTAGCTACAGCCCTGCAGATCCACTGTTCTTGCCAGACTGTACCTGGAAGATACAGAATTGTTTGTTTTATAGTGACAAAACTAAGGGTTGTGTCTTGTGTGTTAGAGTCCTGTTAACAGAAGGTCTGTAATGAGCTCTATAGTGAAGTCTTGTGGAGCTGAAAGGTCTTGCATTGTACTAGCAAATTTATCATCTCTTTAGATTTGACCATGACGTAAACAGGGGTGATGAATTAAGTAAGTTGTACTGTTGTAGTTTACCGCTAGTGCATAAAATGTGTTGGTTTCCAGCATCTCTTGTTCCTACAAACAGTATATTCTGTCACCTCTGAGAGATTTTTTTTCAGATAGCTTCATGAATGTCACATTTAAAATAATTTTCAAAAAGAAGACAGTACTGTGTATTGTTGCAGATATTCTTAATGCCTTGTCATAGTTGAGTTAAACAATGGGCCATCAAGTGAAATATCTAAACAGAGAAAGGATACATTGAACTTTATACCAACATAACCCAGAAAACACTATTGTGTGTGACAAGTACACGTGTAGGCTGCATCAATATGCATTTTTTATTTTAAATTATTTGGATTCTTCAGAGTGCATCTACCAACTGTGCAGAAGTACAGAAGATTCAACAGCACTGAGTTCTGACTGGAGACAGAGGCTGCTGTTAGCTGCACTTATGAAGGGTGGGAAAAAGCAGGTTGCCTCCTCTCAGTTCAGAATTTGGCAATCTTAAGAACTGTGCATTTTGCCTGGGGCAGTTGATGTTAGAAAAAGGTGTTGTCAGAAATGTGGCTAGAGTAGGGACAGACCTGCTTGGCACTCCAGAGGAAACAACTCAGCAGTGAGGTAAGAACTGCAGGCAGCAGAGCCAGTATTCACTTCCCAAGTCATTGAACAAGGTTTAACTGGTATTGCACGCATTTGAAGCATCTTTGATGCTGTCCTTCAACAGGGTTTCCAAAGTTTTCCGTATGTCCAGCATTGTGGCAGTGCAGCCTAAGCATAGGAAGTCCCTGGAACTGCTCACAGATGCAGGCAAGACTGGAGGGCTGCAGATGGTTGCACTGATTCCGTGCAGTTCAGATCTCCCTGCAGCACACGGTGACACTCACATCTTAGCCACCCCACATGGTTTATGTCCCAGCCTGTGCCTGCTTTATCATCAAATGCTTTAGCTGATGTCCAAGATTACAGGATATTTGCTGCATCTGAAGGTACTAAAATCCCATAAAAAGAAAAATGGTTTGTTTCTTCTAACAGCCCTTTTTCCCACCTCTGTACCAGTCTCTGTCACCACTATTGGAGGGGAAAAGTGCTTGGCTAACTTTCTCCCAGCCACTCTAGGATGGGGAGATATTCTGACTTTCAGCTAAAATGAATTATCGCTTTTAAAATCTATAGAATTATTTATCCATTTTATAGTGGAATTTGGTTGCCCTCTTGTGGAACAGATTGAACATCCTGCAGAAGGGCTTGTGCTGTCACAGGATGGTAGATGTCCCTATTTTTTTTTAAAGTTTTTTTATTAATATTCAATATGATGACCTGTTGTATAGAAGTGAAGGATAATGGAGTCAATTTAACCATTATGTGTGTTTTGTATGAAAGATTATGCGTATTTGGATTCAAAAGCTGCTTGACATATCAGTGTGGCTTCCTACTAACATGTATTTTCAGTTCCAGCCAGTATCAGACAGAAATAAACATAAACATGACTGGTGAAACATAACTTCTACTAGTGCTAGTGACACATTGAAGCAAACCATTAACTGGGCATCCCTTGAGGTGTTAGATCTATCAATGCATTTCTTATGATATTAGGGAATTTGTATCTTCAGTAGCATGAGGTAATTTTGTTAATGTGTGGAAAAGAAAGTTGTTTGGGGAACATAAATGCTCGTTTTCTAATCAGTCTTCAGTTAACACAAGGCAGGCAGGAGAAGTGACTTAATAGAACACCCGGGATTATTGCTTGTGTCTGGTGTTAAATCATCACATTTAAAAGAACCGGTAGAAGAACTGTTGTTTCCCCCATCAGAATTTTCAGTGGCTTTTTTTTCTATTTCAATAGAAAGTGGGTTTTTTTACAATTGAATCAATAATTCAAGGTTTGCGATGTTTATTAATCTTTACAAAATTGTAATTAAATTTAAAATTTTAAATTTGTTTTAAAAATTTTTAGTTATAAGGTAACAGGAAGAATTTGTAGATGAGAGCTCAGAAAATGCTGAATTACCACCTGGGGCGATCCTAGACACGTGGGACCTGCCTCCTTAAACACAAATTAGTTGTTCACAGAAATAAGATGTTCATTTTTAACAGCTAGGCAGTTTTTCGAGAGCTCTCTTTTACACCCCAGCAAGATTTCCTATTAAATGTAGAATAGGCTTCCTGAGTGCTCTAGGGTCTGTCTTCTGTAAGTACCAGCTAGCTGGCTTCCAGGGCATGCAGAGCAGGAGGAAATTAAAATAGGAAATCAGAGGGTCAGGCTCACAATTAACAGCATGTCAAAAGGCTCTTGGGCTGCCTAAACCCATGTCAGTGCTCCAGCTGAGCTAATGGCTTTCCCTCATATCCCATGAATGAAAATAGGCTGCAGTGCAATAGTGTGTTATTACACTGCATTTAGTATCAAGTCAGCATGATGGCTGTGTTAAATGATACAGGCTTATTAAAGCACATTAAATTCCAGTTATTGTAACCAGGCTCTCAGAGGTCTGCCACACAGAATGGTAAAGGTTTTCCATGGTATCACTGCAAGCAGAGATCTCTACTTGGGGAGAAAGCTAAGCCAGCAAGTACGTGGGTGAACAAGGGTGGCTGGAATTAGATGGCACTGCTGGCTGTAGCAGACAAGACTCACTGTTTATGGCCTTGGGAAGGGAAGCTGGATACAAGGAAGGTGGTGCCGAGAAAGCAGATGCCCAGCAAAGGGACAGCAAGTGGAAAAGAAACATAGGGAGAGCAGTCTGACATTGAGCAGGCCTGGCCAAACAGGGACTGTAGCACAGGCAGGCAGGGCTGCCCTTTGGGGACCCTGGTCTTCCTGGCTTTCCCATCCTTCCAGTATGGTGGATTACAAAAAACTTTAGTTTTGGGGCTGGTTTTTGCTGTCTGCTTCAGAGTGAGCCTACAGAATGTTTGCAGATTGCCTTTCTACAGGCATACAGTGTCTGCAGGGGAAATGGAGAATCTTGGCATGAGTAGTAGAACAAAAATGGGGAATGACTTTGTAGAACCTCGCATCTCGATATCTCAGAGCACACAGAGATGTCATCCAGTTTGTTCCCAATTTCAATTCTTTGTTAATATTTCCAGCTTTCTAGGAAATTTCTTAAAAGTTCATAAAAGCTGTAAACAGTTAGTTACCTGCCTTTACTGGGTGTAGTGATCACAAGCTGTTGTGTTTTTTTACCTAGTGAGATGACTTGTGATATGAATGTTTTTCTTGTTTTAATATAAAATATCCCTTTGGTTTATGTTATTTTTCTGGAAATAGTCTGTACTACACAACAGTATGCAGAAGACAGCAGAAGGATTATGGTATTGAATTTTCATTTCAAAGGCAATGGTGGAAAAAGTCCTCCTACGAACATTCACAGTGTACAAAGTGACACTTTAAAATCAATTTGATATTTTAATATTTCTGTTAGCTCACATTTGGGTGTGCTGAGTATTTGGAATATGCAGGAAGGAATTCCAGTGGTAGGTCTGTGCTTTGTTCAGATTGAATAGTTACTAGGTAATCCCCTCAGTCCCAAGTCTCCTATTTCATACTGGCAAGAAAAAGCTCATGCATCCAAATCCCTCTTCATTTTACTGTCTAAGAGGGACAAATTCCTTCATTCCCTAGAGCTGCTATATTGCTCGTATTTAAAAAACTGTATTTTTTTAAAAGCCTCCCTCAAATTTGGAAAGCACTTTTTAGGAGAATAATGACTACAAGGCCCTAGTACCCCTTTTGTACCATAATCTCGAACATCAAGAAAAAGCAACACAAAACAATACACATATTTAATTTTCTCTTAACCAAAATATCTTCTAGAGTCATTACAGAGCTCTCCTTATTAATTCCCATACCCTGTGCCCACATTTTCTGTATATATATATTTTTCTATCTCAAGTACATTTAGGTGTCAATTAAATTTGAAATATCTACATTTGTCAGCATTTCATTTTTGGCCAGTGTGATGTGCTGCTGATTTGTCCATGCATCCTGACACATGAAAAAAGCTCCTGAGATGCAGATCTTCCTCATTAAAAAAGAAGCCCCCGCTGCCATGGCGCGCGGCGCCGCGGAGCACAGCCCCGGCTTTATTGCGCTGTGTTTCTGACATGATATTTAAAAAGGAACAGCCACGGCTGTCAGTACTGTCATATGCTGGTGCTAACTGAAGACATGTTAAACTAAACATTAGAAAGAGATCAGCAAGTCATCTGCATGATAACTCAGCTAAGAGATTAGGTAGGCAGGAGCTGGTGCAGTCATGTGGAGATGATGAGGGTTGGAGCTGTGACGGACACATCCTTTTTTCCATCTACGACTGCAGCAGCGCCTGCCTTGTAGCCGGGCTTGCTGTGACCTGCCTTTTCAGAGACAGCTCTTTGTGTGTGAAAGCCCAGCAAGTGGTGGGTGGCAGGCTGCAGGAGAGTTGCCGAATTGGGTTAATGAGGGAATAGGCACTT